CTCTCTCTCTCTCTCTCTCTCTCTCTCTCCTCTCTGGGATTTCAACCCCTGCTTTCCAGCAGTTTATTTTTGCCCCAAATTCTGTCCTCTCGTTATTTAAGACAGTAAAACATTCTTTTAAAAAAATGTTCAACTTTAGCTGGCTTGTGTAGTACCAATTGGGACCTGCCTTCAGGTTAGACTTAGGAACTGAGGAGTTCACCAGTGATATCCCATTTTCTGAGTATAAATTCCTTTGCAGTACCTGCCTGCTCTGTCGCTCTCCCATGCCTTTCCGTGATTATTTCCTATATTTCCCAGAGTTTGTAGTCGTCGTCTGTAGTACAGTTGGTCTAAGAGGAGCTTATCAGCCATATTGGAGTTGGGAATCCTTTGGGTTGCAAATGGTGCCATCTGAGAAACGGTGAAGCTGAGGCCAGGAGAGGAAACGAGGCCACTGTGTGTTTCACGATAGCACAGAGAGTAATCAGCTATGATTTTAAAAACTGGGTTGGAGACCTTTTTTTTTTGGATCCTAAAACAGACTGGCTCTTGAGCAAATCCTGTTTTGTGCATTAGTAACTCGGTGATAATATCAGCAAACAATCAATGTTCCTTAAGTGCTTACTAGATCTTGTGCCTGCCCCTTAAAATCATTGCTCAAGATGACTTCAAATTGGAGTCTTTTAGAGGGAGATTTGCAGCGGAGGAGATTGAGGTGTTTAGCAAAGCTGAAGTCAAGTTGATGGAACCCTCTGCATGATTAACCAATGATAACGGCGGCTCCTGTGTACTGAGCTATTGTCACGCTGTGGATAGCACACTCAAGCACTGTTACTGTCACTCCGCTTTTTCACACAGACAAATGGACACATAAAAACTCAGGTAACTTGCTGCAGGTCATATAAGTAGCAAGTGATGGACTCAGACTTGAACCCAAGCAGATTAGTACCAAACCCATCTGCTTACCCTCTGTGCCACAAAGCCTTCTTGCTGTGACCACGGCTGAGAAGACCTGTCGCCTTATAGGTCTTCTGTGCAGCCAAGGTCCCTTCCTCTTGGTACAGATCAGACTGGCTCAAACAGAATCCAGAAGGCTGTGGGCATCTCCGGCACAGGCACACAGGTGGTACCCCGCAAATGTCTGTGGGGTGTGAGTCAGCCCTCTTCTGCCCATTCGTCAGGCACCCCGGCCTCCAGCACAAATGAGGAAATCTTCCTAGGAAGGAATAAGTGGCAACAAACTGCAGAGGTTCCCTCATCCTGGTTTTCACTTCATCTTTTGGAAGATGCAGGCTGAGTGAGCAGAGATCCCGGGCTCGGCCAGCCAGCTGCTTTGTCCCTGAGCACTGCCATGAATCACTTCCAGACCATCTTGGCCCAGGTGCGGGCACTGCTCTCCAGCCGCCAGCCGAGGCAGGTGCAAGCCCTCCTGGACAGACTGCTGGAGGAGGAGCTCCTGTCCAGGGAGTACCACTGCGCCCTGCTCCGGGAGCCTGATGGCGAGGCTCTGGCCAGGAAGATCTCCCTGACCCTGCTGGCGAAGGCGGACCTGGACTTGGCTTTCCTGGGCTGGGCGTGGAGCCAGCTGCAGGCCCCGAAGGTGGAGCGGGGCCCTGGCTGCAGGGACCGTGGTGGTGAGTTGGCATTGCTCTGACGCCAGGGCACTGAGTAGTGGGGACATCTCAAGGATTTTCCCTCCCCTCTGAAGGGGAAGTCAGTGGGCAGGGATCAGGGTATCTGGAGAGCTGGAAGGAGCAAGGAGCACTTGGAAATTTCCATCTGTGTGCCTGGGCGTGCTGAAGACATAGAACTGCCTTCCACACTGTGCACATGAAACCCACCCGGGGCAGGTCAAATGCCCACCCCGGGTCCCACCAACATGTCAGTACCAGGGGCAGACAGATCAGCTCCTGCCTTCAACAGGCTCCCGGCCTGGAGGGGGAGACAGAGGCAGGCACAAGAGTAATAAGGTGCCGAAGAGAGGGGGACCAGATGAAGAGCTGGAGAGCAGAGGACATTATGAGTGCTGGTGTGTGGGTGTGTGTGTGCATTTTGTGCATGTGTATGCATGAGTGCGTGTGCACGCATTTGGGTGTGTGTCCATGTATTTATGCGTGCATGGACACGCTTGTGCACATGTGCATATCTATAAAGGTGTGTGTAAACGCATTTGCATGTATGTGCATGTGCGTTTGTATGACTGGCAGTCAGACAAAGAGAAAGAGATAAAGAAAAGGGGAGACAGACAGAGGCCAGGGGAAGAAGGGAAGAAGAGAAGAAGGAAGGAGAGATATGTCTTAAACCAGGAAAATAAGCCTGCACCCACTCTGAGGTTCCATCTAGGTTTTCCTTCTGAGGTCCAAGAGGTACCCACTTGGTTGCAGTATACTTTGTAAGGACATGTGGCCGTCCTGTCTTCTCAGGAAGTCTATGCTTCTCTGATCACGGTATTTAGGGGCATAAAGTCCAGCCCCTGTGGTCCTTTTATAGCTTTAGAGTAACTTGGAAGTCTGAGATACTGACAGTGACTGACAGCTACTGAGTGCTTACTGTGTGCAGGCCCAGTTCAGCTCAGTCTAGCACCCAGCACCGAGCTTTCCTCTCCACTCTGAGCCCTTTGAGAATCTGAATCCTTACCCAACATGGAAAAATAAAGCAGAAGCTGGGTGTGATGGTGTATGCCTATAATCCCAGCACTCTGGGAGGCTGAGGCAGGAGGGTCATAAGTTTGAGCCCAGCCTGGGCAATTTAGCGACCTAGTGAGACTCTGCCTCAAAATAAAAAAGGGCTGGGTAGCTCAGTGTGATGGCCGTGGGCATAAGGGAGAGAGGGAGGGGAGGGGAGGGAAGGGAAAGAAAAGGAGGGGAGGAGAGAGGGAGGGGAAGGGAACAGAAGGTAAGGAGGGAGAGAATAGAACAGAAACTGGGAAGCAAAAGAGAGGACAAGACAGGACAGGACAGAACAGGAAAGAGAAAAAGCGAGACTGCCCCACGTCTGGGCGGGAAGCGATGAGGGCCGGATTGGAGAACAGATACGCTTTAGCCTTTCCCCTTGGGAGCTAAAACGTCTTTCGATGGCCTTCCCCGAAGCACCCGGGCACTGCCAGCCTCTCCAACTCCCTTGTGACACCTACGTTTTTGTCACGGGGTTGGTGCTTGTGGTTGCGTTCTCGCCCAGGTGGTTTCCATCCACCTGTAGGACACGGCTTTCCTTCGTCCATCCTGACGGACCTAGGGGAGCCTGAGCGGCCCTGGTGGGGCTGCAGGCGCCTACCTGGGAGAAGCGAGAGCCTCCCAGAGGCCTGCCCCTTCCCCTGCTGCCGCCGGACACCTCCGCCTCAGCCTCCTCCCCCCCTCCTCCTGAGAGGGTTGGTTCCTGTTATTTAGCTGTGTTTCCTCCCCAGGGATGTAATATTTTTATTTCGGGTCTCATGTGACTTCAGAAAGTGGAACTGGGCTGGAGGTGTGTGGTGGGGGGAGGCTGGGAGGTGGTGGGACCTGTGGCCAGCTCTCCTCCTCCTTTCTGCCTGCAGGCTGCTCCCGGCCCCTCCCCACCTCCCAGGGGGCTGGTGAAGGTGGGAGGGGATGTGGAGCAGCCTTTGGAGAGAAGCAGAATAGGGAAGGAGAAATGGTGGCTTGGAAATAAAGGGCACTGACTTCAGGTTCAGTGGAGGGGGAAAAGGAAATCAGCCATGTGGGATTTTTGTAACCCCTCTCTCCAGCCACCTGTAATGATGGGGCCCTCCCCTGATCTAAGCTCTGCACTGGCTTCCTCTGTCACTCGGAGGAAAAGCTAAACCTGGACAATACCCCAAAAGGTCCTTCACATTCTACCCTCTTCAGCTCTCTGCTGTCATCCCCTGCTTCTTTCAGTACCCAACTTGTTCCTCAAACACACCTGGAAGACTCTGCCTCAGGACCTTCGCATGTGCTCTTCCCACCCCAGAGCACGCTTCTTCTGGTATCCTCTTGGCCAACCCTAACATCCTTCAACTCTTGCGTCAAATGTCATTTTATCAATGAGGCCTACCCTGGCCACGCCCCCACTGTCTGAGTCTCCTTCCTGGGGCTGACTTCTTTTTTACCTTCCATACACATCTACTTTTGTATTACGTGTGCTGTTTATTATCTGATTATTCTCCCACTGAAGAATAAGGTCCATGTGGCCATAGATCTATGATTTAATTGCGATGCATCCCAGATGCCTACCAAGTGGCCTGAGCACATAACAGTTGCACCGCGAGATGTGTGTTTGTTTGATGTTGAATGGGTGGGTGGATAGGTCACATGGTACCATTATTCCCATTTTATGCATGCGTAAACTGAGGCCTGGTGGAGTTGACTAATTTCCTCTGCACATGGCCTGGGGAAGAGGCCACCTGGGTCTCATGAGTTCAGCTCTACTACAGCAGTTTCTGCTTGGCTTCCTCTGCTAGACAACCCAAGAGGATACCGTAAACCCAGCCCTAAGGGGCTAAGGATCTCTGGGCAGAAACTGCCCGGCTCATTGGCAGGTACCTCAGACCACCAGTGTCTTAGCTGTGACGGTGCAGAGAGCCCGCCTCTGGGACGGGCGCTCGCTCTGGTGAGGACTGGACTCCAGGTTTTTATCCTGAGAACGCAAAGGTTTCACTGGAAAGTCGAAGCACTCAGGCAGCCCTGGGCGACTTCATCCCAAGGACAATTAGAAGCCAGGGAAGGGACCACTAGAGTGACAGGGTGACAAAAAAGAACTGGGTTGGGAGCTGGCAGCTGTGGTCTGAGCTCCTGCTCTCTATTTCCAAACCGTGTGACCTTGGCCCCGGCTGGACCACTCTGAGCCCAAGTTTCCTGGTCTCTATCATGGAAGTGACAGAAATCTCTCTGGGCTACCGTGAGGGTTCAATAGCTGGGTCGCTGGGGACCTAAGGAGAGTGGTAAGGAGCTTGCAACAGGCGAACTTAGCCAGGCGCCCAAGGAGCTAAGCGAACAGTCATTTCTGTAGTCTCTGAGGGGCCCCATGGGACAGGCAGGGCCCAGGGCTGGGTGCTGAGCAAATCTACAAACAAGTCAATGCCCTCCCCAGCCTGGGGCCTGAGCAAGCACTGGCTTTGCTTGGCCCAAGTGCCAGCCCTGGCTCCCCAGGCCACGAGGTATGACTTTAAGGGCTTCCTGGGGCCCCTCTGGGCCTCAGTTTCTCCACCGCAAAGTGGAGGTCACAGCACCCTCAGAGTTGCCATCCTGAGGGCCTGATACTGTCCTACCTGAGGCAGGTATGTTCCCAGCAACCGGAAGCTGGTCTGACTCAGTGGCCAGGAATGCACCTGGGGCGGCACAGCCCACTAAATAGGAGGCAAGGGAGCCCCGCTGGCTGTGGGCACTGCCTGCTTCCTTGGGGCCACGCACACTGCAGCCAAAAGTCTGCATTTTGCATTTTATGGTGTTGTGGGCTCCGCTGTGCCAGTTTGTGCCTGTGTTTTGTTACCGGGACTCTGTTCAAAGAACCAGAGCAAAATCTCCTTCTAGGATGTTGCCTGATTTACGGAAGACAGAGAGACAGCGCAGCCTGCTCAGCTCCCCGGCACCCACTTCCTTCCTCATCTGGGCTTTGGGATGCAGGAAACCAGAGCTGGGAGGACTGGGGGGAACAGAGGCTGCACCCCTTCCAGGCCCCTTCCCCCTGCCCCGGGGCCAGCCGTGCTCTGGGCCTGGGGATCCCTATGCCCCCTGGATGAGCTGGGCTGCAAGGAAGCTCCCCCCCCCCCGGCCCATGCCCCAGGGGGCGCCTCCCAGCGGTCAGCCCTGGCACACCCAGAGAGCAACAGAGGGAGCCTCGCGTGGGATTTCCCGCTTGTCTGGAGCCTGCAGCCTGGTGCTGACCCAGCCAGGGACGGTTTCTGTTCCCTGGAGCACAGGCTCACCTGCGTCACCAGCCACCTGCTTGTGACTTACCTGCCCGCCCTCCAGCTTTCCTTGACTCCGCCCTCCCACCCACCAACTGCTTACAGTCTCCTTATGCATACTTAGCCACTCTTCTCCACTCACCAATTTATCCTTTTTTTTACTTGTTTAATCATTGGGGTAGTTACACAGGAAGATCAGAAGAAAAGGAGAACGTTTACATTAAAAAATTTTTATTATAGTAAAACACACGCTGCCGTTGATCTCCCTCACCGTACTCTTCAGTTCAAACAGCTGTGCTGTTGTGTTTACCACTCTCTGAAGCAGCTCTGCAAGTCCCTCTTCTGTGAGTGTCTGTAGTCGCATGGTTTCAGCGACCCTGGGTCGAAGGTTCCTGTTCCGGGAGCCAACTGTAGGTGACTTTGCGTCCTAGTCCTACTTTGGGGCGTCACCTGTTCCCGCCCTCCTGGCCGTCTTGCTCTGGGATCTAGACTCGCTACTTTGTTTCTCCTTGACTGGGACAAATGAGGATGAATGATAAAGAGGCATGATAAAAAGCACGTGGGCAGCCACTTGGCTCCTGCCTCGAGCAGGCAGAGAAACCGGGCCTTCGCTCATCTGGCCCTTTACTCACCCAAACACGTGCACAAGCAGTGCAGATAACAAGATTCACTTGCTCTCCAATATCCATGAGGATGTTCTCCGCTAAACAACTCAGCCTCAGCTGCCTTAACGGTTCCCAAATAGGCAGTCAC